AGGTCCTACTATATAACACAGGGAACTATATTCAATATCTTGTGATAAATCATAATGGAAGAGAATAGGAAAAGGAGTATATATGTATATAACTGAATCACTTGGCTGTACAATAGAAATTAACACATTCGATAAAATATAATTTTTCAAATGGAGTAGTCTCTTACATGTAGTATTTTTCCCACTACACCTCACTCTGAAAATGAAAATTTTTACCTGTTTCCACCTTGCTCAAATGCTTCCATCTATGAGCTGCCAGTTATAATCCTATAGTATTTTATGTATTTATTTTACTTATGACCTCATATTATCATGTACTTATATTAGGCTACAAGCACTAATGCAACATTCCCTTGAAGACAGGGATTGTTACATATCCTTATAACACCCACAATTTATTATCCGTCAAAGTTGTTCACTAGATATGCAGGGTTGTTTTTTCTTTAGTAACAAACAGTTGGCTTTTATTTTTTGTGATCTTAGTTTTAGTCATTGTATTTGGTCATAGTCATATCTAGGCTTTAAAAAATTCTCATTTATTTAAGGCTAATAAAATTAAACATCTTTTCATGTGCTTAGTGGTCATTTGTATATCTTCTTTTGTGTGGTTCTCTTTTGTTAAGAAGTGGGTTTTTTAATCAAAATACAATTGACATATTAGTTTCTGATGTTCAGTTCAGTTCAGTTGCTCAGTCATGTCCGACTCTTTTCGATCCCATGCACTACAGCACGCCGGGCTTCCCTGTCCTTCACCAATTCCTGGAGCTTGCTCAAACTCATGTCCATCCCGTTGGTGATGCCATCCAACCATCTCATCCTCCCTCTTCCTCTTCTCCTCCCGCCTTCAATCTTTCCCAGCATCAGGGTCTTTTCCAATGAGTCAGTTTTTTGCATCAGGTGGCCAAAGTATTAGAGTTTCAGCTTCACCATCAGTCCTTCCAATGAATATTCAGGACTGATTTCCATTAGCATGGACTGGTTGGATCTCCTTGCACTCCAAGGGACTCTCAAGAATGTTCTCCAACACCGCAGTTCAAAAGCATGAACTTTTCAGCATTCAGCTTTCTTTATGGTCCAACTCTCACATCCATACATGACTACTGGAAAAGCCATAGCTTTGACTAGATGGATCTTCGTCGGCAAAGTAATGTCTCTGCTTTTTAATAATGCTGTCTAGGTTGGTCATAACTTTTCTTCCAAGGAGCAAGCATCTTTTAATTTCATGACTGCAGTCACCATCTGCAGTGATTTTGGAGCCCAAGAAAATAACATCTGTCACTGTTTCCATTGTTTCCCCATCTATTTGCCAAGAAGTGATGGGGCCGGATGCCATGATCTTAGCTTTCTGAATGTTGAGCTTTAACCCAACTTCTTCACTCTTCTCTTTCACTTTCATCAAGAGGCTCTTGTTTGCTTTCTGCCATAAGGATGCTGTCACCTGTGTATCCGAGGTAATTGATATTTCTCCCAGCAATCTTGATTCCAACATGCGCTTCATCCAGCACAGTGTTTCTCATGATGTACTCTGCACAGAAGTTAAATAAGCAGGGGCACAATATACAGCCTTGACATACTCCTTTCCGGATTTGGAACCAGTCTGTTGTTCCATGTCCAGTTTTAACTGTTGTTTCTTGACCTGCATGTAGATTTCTCAGGAGGCAGGTAAGGTGGTCTGGAATTCCTACCTCTTTTAAAAATTTTCCAGAGTTTGTTTTGATCTATGCAGTAAAAGGCTTTGGTGTGGTCAATAAAGCAGAAGTTGATGTTTTTCTGGAACTCTCTCTTGCTTTTTTGGTGATCCAATGGATGTTGGCAATTTGATCTCTGGTTCCTCTGCCTTTTCTAAAACCAGCTTGAACATCTAGAAGTTCACGTTTCATGTAATGCTGAAGCCTGGCTTGGAGAATTTTGAGCATTACTCTGCTAGTGTGTGAGAGGAGTACAGTTGTGCAGTAGTTTGAACATTCTTTGGCATTGCCTTTCTTTGGGATTGGAATGAAAACTGACCTTTTCCAGTCCTGTGGCCACTGCTGAGTTTTCCAAATTTGCTGGCATATTGAGAGCAGCACTTTAACAGCATCATCTTTGAGGATCTGAAAGAGCGCAACTGGAATTCCATCACATCCACTAGCTTTGTTCATAGTGATGCTTCCTAAGGCCCACTTGACTTCACAGCCAGGATGTCTGGCTTTAGGTGGGTAATCACACCATCATGGTTATGTAGAGTCCTCTGTGTATTTTTGCCACCTCTTCTTAGTATCTTCTGCTTCTGTTAGGTCCATACCATTTCTGTCCTTTATTGTGCCCATCTTTGCATGAAATCTTCCCCTGGTATCTCTAATTTTCTTGAAGAGATATCTAGTCTTTCCCATTCTATTATTTTCCTCTATTTCTGTGCATTGGTTCCTGAGGAAGACTTTCTTTTCTCTCCTTGCTATTCTTTGGAATGCTGCATTCAAATGGGTCTATCTTTCCTTTCCTTCTTTGTCTTTAGCTTCTCTTCTTTTTTCAGCTATTTGTAAGGCCTTGTCAGACAACCATTTTGCCTTTTTGCATTTCTTTTTCTTAGGGATGGCCTTTATCACTGCCTCTGATACAGTGTCACGATCCTCCATCCATAGTTCTTCAGGCACTCTGTCTATCAAATCTAATCCTTTGAATCTAGTTTTCACTTCCACTGTATAATGGTAAGGGATTTATGTCATACCCTAATGGTCTAGTGGTCTTCCCTACTTTCTTCAATTCAAGTCTGAATTTTGCAATAAGTTCATGATCTAAGCCACAGTCAGCTCCTGGTCTTGTTTTTGCTAGCTGTATAGAGCTGCTCCATCTGTCTGCAAAGAATATTAATCAGTCTAGTTTCAGTATTAGCGATCTGGTGATGTCCACTTGTAGAGTCTTCTCTTGTGTTTTTGGAAGAGGGTATTTGTAATGACCAGTCTGTTCTCTTGGCAAAACTCTTGTTAGCCTTTGCTTTGTTTCATTTGTTTCACATATACAATGTAACAGTTCAGTATTTCTATATATTATGAAATAATCCCCACAGTAAATGTAGTTAAGATCCATCACCACACACACACACATTTTTGGGTGTGTGAGGGAACTTATAAGATATACAGTCTTAGCAACTTTCAAATATTGTTAACTCTAGTCACCATGCTGTATATTATATCCCCAAGACTTATTTATTACAGATATATGTTGAATAAATGAATTAAGAATTTTTAAATTGGGTAGAAGAAAACCTAGAAAAGAAGTGCAGAGGCATCATCTGAGAGGTAAGAAAGCCAGGAAAATGTGGGACCACAGGCAGGTACATGTTGTAATAAGTTTGTCAAAAACCATAGCATATGCAACACTGAGAGTGAACCCTGAACCCTAAAGTAAACATGGGAGTTGGGTGGTAATGACACATGCATGGAGGTTAATCTTTGGTAATCAATGTCCCACTCAGGTAGGGAGCCATAGGATTTATGGGAACCTTCACACTTTCTGTCGTGTCTGACTCTTTTCAATCCCATGGACTGTAGCCTGCCAGGCTCCTCTCTCCATGGAATTCTCTAGGCAAGAATACTGGAGTGGGTTGCCACTTCCTTCTTCAGGGAATCTTCCAAACCCAGGGATTGAACCTGGGTCTCCTGCATTGCAGGCATATTCTTTACCTTCTGAGCCATCAGGGAAGCACTTCCTACTCCATTTTGCTGTGAACCTAAAACTGTTCTGAAAAAAACTGTCCATTAAAAAAAAAAAAAAAAAAGGCCATGGCAGAAAATGTTCGAGGAGGAGCAGGTGTTTGGTCAGGAGAGTTAATTGCAGCTGAGCCTGGGAGCAGGATGGAAATATGTCCCTCCGTTTGTGATGTGATTACACTGGTTACACTGGTCTCACTTAGGTGAGAACAGTTTCTGCCGAGTGATGGGGTGGGAGCTAGACTGGAGAATACTTAAGTGAATGGAAGGCAAGAAAATTATTAACTGAATATGGAAAACCCTTTCAAGAAGCTTCACTGGTGCTCATGAAAGAATATCACATGAGTAGGGCAAAGGATATTCTCTTGCCTAAGAGGACAGAATGTGAATGTACTCAAGCCTCTGGATTAGCTGTTAAATTCCAATGACAGAGGCATCTGCTCACGTGCCCCGTGAGTGTGCAATCAGTACATTCCATGCTGCAGGAAACCTTAGAGGTCAAATGCCCCAGGTTCTTTTTTTCTCTTTGGCTGTGCCAGTCTTTGTGGCAGTATTTCGGAACTTAGTTGCAGCATGTGGGATCTAGTTCCCTGACCAGAGATTGAAACCAGGCTTCTTGCATTAAGGGAGTCTTAGCCACTGGACCACCAGGAAGTCCCACCCCAGGTTCTTTAATAAATAACTTTTGAGCGAAAGATAGGGCTAGAGGCAGAACCTAAGTATTTTTTACAAGCTTCTAAGAGTTGTCTTTTTTTTTTAATTAGCAAGTCTAAACTATAATGTCTAGAGATGACCAACTGTGTGATACAATTGTAAAGAAACGCAAGGAAGTGATCACCATAAAAAGTCAGGAGGAAATAAAAGTCAGGAGAGTTGTTACTTTTGGGGGGAGGTGGGAGCAATGAATGAATCTGGGCACACGAGGTTTCTGGGTGGTGGTATTATCATAACTCATTCACTCGAGAAGTCTGGCTGTTGAGAAAACAATAACATGGAGAGATCACAAAATTCAAGAAGGGGTGTGTGTGTGTGTGTGTGTCACAGTGGCAGAAGCAGGCAGGAACCACAGGGGCAGTCATTCCTGTCCATCTCCCCATGGTGCTCCGAGGTTCTCAAGCCTTTCCACTTCTACGAGGCAGAAAGGGCAAGGGTTATTGGCCAGATCTTACGGATGGGAAAACTGAGGCCTGAGTGTGTGTGCCTTGCCCCAGGTCACACTGCTCATCAAGGGTAGAGGCTGCCCAGATCCCAGGCCCCAGGCCGGGAGTGAGCAGAGCAGCTGTCTCACCGAGGCTGCCCTGTCCCCTGCAGGAATTGCTGAGATTCTGATGAACAGACCGAGCGCCCGCAATGCCCTGGGGAACGTCTTCGTCAGTCAGGTAAGGGTGGGCACCAGGGTGGGCTGGAGCTGAGATGGGAGTTATCTGATTGGGTCTTCTCTGCAGCTGCTGGAAGCTCTGGCCCAGCTTCGGGAGGACCAGCAAGTGCGTGTCCTGATCTTCAGGAGTGGAGTGAAGGGTGTGTTCTGTGCAGGTGGGTTTCCTTCCTTGCCCCCAACCCGGGCTCAGCAGGGCTCCCACAGGCCTGCATTTAGGGAATATTTAGGTTGTTCTAGCACAGGACTCAGGCTTCCCAGATAACTAGTGGTAAAGAACCCATTTGTGGACACAGGAGACACTGGTTAGATCCCTGGGATGGGAAGATTCCCGGTGGGAGGAAATAGCAACCCACTCCGGTATTCTTGTCTGGAGAATCCCCATGGACAGAGGAGCCTGGCGGGCTACAGTCCACAGGGTCGCAAAGAGTCACAACTGAAGCGACCTGGCACACAGCACAGGACTCATTCACATTTAAAGCTGGGAACTCGCAGGTGCAATTCCTTGCTTAGAGCCACACAGCTAGTGAGAATTCAGTCAGAACTTGACCTCTCTGACCCCCAAATCCTTGTTCTTTCTGTTCTGACCTTTCACTGAGGAAATGAGAAAGTGGAGTCCAAAGACACTCACCAGGTCTGTGGCCAAGACAGGCCTGACTTACTGCCCCTTTGCCCACCTACAAGATCTCAGCCCCTTGTCAAAAAACTCTTCCGTGTCTCTGCACCATTTGGTCCTCACAACAGGGCAAGCCCCACACACTTCCTTTCAGAGATGAGAAATGCCGCATCCCAGGCCCACAGCAAGAAGCAAGTGAAGGAGAGTTGAGCGAAGAATTGACTGGGGTGGCTGTGGAGGGGGCACTGGGGAGACGGGAAGAGGCTGCGGAGGGCGAGGGTGGGAAGCAAGTGATTCTTAGGCGGTTTCAAGGGCATGTGGCTCAGTCCCCAGACCTCAACTGCCAGGATCACGGTGAGCAGCTTGGGGAGGGAGGTGGCAAGGGAAGTATGGGACCAGTCTGCCTGACCCCACCACCCTGATCGAGGCCCTCCTCCTACTGCGGCCTCTTCCTTTGGCTTCCCCATGGTCTGATGTCTTCCATCACAGTCACTTCAAGACTCTTAGCCCCGCTCCTCATCCCGCCAGCGAAGGACAGCAAAGTAGGGGGCGTGCAGGAGGTCTGAATCTGCCCCCGATTTGCCCTGGAATCCTGGGCTAGTCCCTGTCTCTCTCTGGGCCTCAGTTTCCCCATCTGTCACTGAGGGGCTAGGACTAATCAGACTCCCAAGGGCTCTCCCAACTGACTTTCACATAATTGAGCACTTGCAGAGACTGTGTTCACCCCTTATTCGTGACTCAGGCTCCTGCCATCTGACCTCTGATGACCCTCCACTGTTATTCTCTCACCCAGGACCCTGCGCACCCCCACGCCACTGTCCCTGCACTCACTCCTCATCTACTTGACCTTTCAGCCTCCCCCACCAAGCCCTACTTTTAAAAAATAATTATACCTGATGCACGCCAATTATTTCTCAATAAAATATGAAAAAATAATAAAATCTTATTACTATTTCATGTATTTATTGAGTTGTCACAAATATATACATTATACAAAATTTACATTTAATCACAAAATTTACCTTTTAATCACTCTGAAATGTAAAATCCACTGGCATTAAGTACATTCACAAGGTTATTCAACAATCACCACTATCCATTTCAGAAACTATTTCATCATCTCAATAAACTATATACTCATTAAGCAATTCCTCCCCATTTCCCTAACACCCAGTAACCTCCATTCTACTGTCCATCTTTACAAATTTGCTTACTCTAAGTATTTAATACAAATAGAATCATACATTTGCCCTTTCATGGCTTGCTTATTTCACTTAGCATCATGTACTTCATGTTCATCCATGTTGTAGCATACTGCAGAATTTCTATCCTTTTTAAAAATGAATAATATTCCCTTTCACACATATATTCCACATTTTGTTTATCCATCTGTTGATGGACTTGGGTGGTTCCCACATTTTGGCTATTGTGATTAATACTGCTATGAACATTGGTGTGCGCGTATCTGCTTGAGTCCATGCTTTCAATTCTTTGGGGCATATACTTAGGAGTAAAGTGGCTGGACCAGGTTGTAATCCTATGTTGAACTTTGGGAGGAAGCACCAAAATATTTTTCACAGCAGCTGTATCATTTTACATTCCTACCAGCAGTACATCAGAGTTCTCCACACCAATGTCAACACTTTTTTGTTTGTTGTTTATAATCATCGTCTGAATGGCTACAAAGCACTGTCCTACTGTGGTTTTTACTTGCATTTCCCCAATGATGTTGAACACACCTTCCAGTGCTTACTGCCTTATCTTCTTTTTTTAAATATTTATTTGGTACACTGGGTCTTAGTTGAGGGACACAGGATTTTCAATCTTCATTGTCACATTCCACCTTTTAGTTCTGGCATGAGAGCTCTAGTTCCCCAACTAGGGATCGAACTTGGGCCACCTGCATTCAAAGCCGAATCTTAGCCACTGGCCTAGTGGGGAAATCCCACTGGCTTATTTTCCTTGGAGAAATGCCTATTCAAGTCCTTTGTTTGTTTGTTTTTGGCTACTCTGCACAACTTACATGATCTTAGTTCCCGAACCAGGGATCAAACTGTGCCCCCTGCAGTGGAAGCATGGAGTCTTAAACCACTGGACCACCAGGGAAGTCCTTTGTATTTCTTTTAAGTTGTAGGAATTCTTTATATATCCTAGATATCAGTTCCTTACCAGATGTATTGATTTGCAAGTTATTTCCTTCCCTTCATGGGTTGTCTTTGCTCTCTTGATAGTCTCTTCTGATGCATTAGTTTTTAACTGTGATGAAATCCAATTTATCTTTTTGTTGTTTTTGCATCTATCCTTTTTTGAACTCCTCCTCCCTCCCTGGCTTCCCTGATCAAGTTTTCCTGGTGTTTCTCTTTCCTCTCTGGCTGCTTCTCTTCAGGTTTCCATTGCTGGATCCTTTGACAGCCTGGGATTCAGTGCCAGGTCATTTCCCAAGGGCTGTCACCCTTGCATCTGGCAGGTGCAGACCTGAAGGAGCGGGAGCAGATGAGTGAGACAGAAGTGGGGGTCTTTGTCCAGCGGCTCCGAGGCCTGATGACTGAGATTGGTAAGGGTTCTGGAGTGGGGAGGAGGAGGGCATTCAGGGGTCCTGCTGATCCTAGCCTCACCCAATCTACCATATTCTAAAGAGAATGGTTTCTGTTGTGCGCTCTGTGGAGAGGTGATTCTCCCAGGGAGAGGGGGCAGGGACAAGGAATTCTACAAGGAGGAGGGTGTCACAAGGGTCCAAAGGGCACTGGCTCCCCAGCATTAGTGCCCTGCTAGATCTGACCCCCCCGAGCCCCTGTGCTCAGGGTACAAGCCTGGCCATACCAGAGTCAACTTTAAGCAAGCATGCTTGCAGGCTTTGACAAATGCTTGTTCCTTTTTCTGGAATATCCCTCCTAGCCCATCTGAACTGTTTATGCATTCTTTAAGACCACCAGTGCCTCCTCCTCCAGGAAGCCATCCCTGGCCCATCATCCAAGCTTCCTTTCTCAGATCACTGATCACCCTGAGTCGTCATCACCTGTTTGCCTGTCTGCCTTCCCCGTGTCGGATTCAATTCTGTTCCCAGCACACAGAATGAGAAGGGAGAGCAAAAAGGCTGGTCCCGGGAGGCCCACAGGAAGGTGGGCCTGACCAGGCATCACCCCGCCCATCCACCTCCCCACTCCTAGTCCCCAGCTGATCCCACAACTTTCCCCAGCGGGAAAACTGACTGCTAAGATAACCTGGCTGAGGTACCAGGAGAGGTCCCCAAGCTTGGGGCCAATGAAGCCGTCTGTCACAACCACCTAGACCGTCTCCTACCCTGAGACACCGTCCTGGTCCTACCAGGGCCTCGCAGGCCGAGCCATCGTCCTTTGTCTCCACAGCAGCCTTCCCTGCACCCACCATTGCCGCTGTGGATGGGTTTGCCTTGGGTGGAGGCCTGGAGCTTGCCCTGGCCTGTGACCTCCGAGTGGCAGGTACCGGGTACAGCGAGAGGTGTGGGAGGGTGGGAGGGAAGAGTGGGTGACACAGGCTGATTCTGGGCACTCTGCAGTCAGCCACTGCTCTCAGCTTGCCAACAAACCCCAGAACTAAAGGCAAAGCGGGGGCCAAGGAATTCAGGCGGTAGCGGTTCCCCCCTCGCCGCCCAGCCCGACTGCCACAGCACTCGTCCCTTCTCGGTCAGCTGCCCTCAACTCAGGACTGCTCATGCCAAGCCCAGGGCAACTGCTGACACAACCAGAAAGAACAGAGAGAGCGAAGGCTGGGGACAAAGGTGCCTCTTCAGTCTTCCAGTGCTGTCCAAGCCAGCTTTACCGATCATGTTGTGAGCAAAGGTGAGCCAGGAGGGCAGTCTGCTACATGCCCAGTTAATCACAGGCATGACTGGGCAGGAACAGTGCCCTACAGTGGTTCTGTCAGAACCCACAAAGGTTTGCAGTAGTAGATAAAAGAGACTGAATTTCGAAACGTGGAGGGCAGGGAGGATGAAGATAACTGATTGCTTTTAACCTTGCTGACTTGGTGGTTAGGTGTGCCCTTTTTAGAGCAGATCAGAGAAGATATGAGTGCCATAATGGTGCCACACTTTCTCATGCCACCAAGCAAGAACTTTTCATCTTTTTTTTTAACGTGTAGCCCCAGGCATAGAGGGACTTTATATCCACATGATGCATAACGAAGAGAAGCCATCAAATATCAGGGCAGATCATAGCACCAACTCTGGTTCTCACCTGCCTGTGTTTAGGAAAGTTAACTTGAAGGGTTTGGTGGGTAGGAGGTGAATGTAAACCCCTCCCTCCCATGCTGCATGGTTCACAGGGACCATGTTAAGGAAATTCAGGAGAAGCCTGTGGGGTGGGACACTCAAGGAGGGTTTCTCACAGGAAGTACAACTGCGAAAGAAGGATATGGATCAGAATACAGGAAAATTTCCGGCTGACAAAAAGCCTGGAGGAAAACTAGTGGAAGCAGGAGTCACTGACACTCTAGGCCAGACCTGAGCTAAGGATGCATGAGACAGAAAATCCATTAACTTACAAATAGGTACCAGGCACCATCCAGGAACCCTTCCTTTTTCCAAGCACCACGACCTCACTTGATCCTAAACAGCTCTATAAAGCAGGTAAAAGAGAGGTTATCAATTTTTTCCCCATCCATGAGGCTCAGAAAGGCTAAGAGAATTGCTCAGTGAGTTGTGGAGGTAGGGTGAATGTTGGGCCTCCTGACTTCCAGACTAGGGCTCTTCCAAAGGCAGCTACTGGAGGAGTCTGGCTGTGGCCGCACCATGAGGGAAGTGATTGGCTGGAGGGGTGAGCAGAGCCCAGAGTGTCTCTTATCCTCAGGGACTGGAGCTAGAAGACAGGGTGGGGGCTTCACTCTGTTTTGTCTAAGCAGCTTCCTCGGCTGTCATGGGGCTGATCGAGACCACCCGAGGGCTCCTCCCAGGAGCAGGTAATAACACACACCATCCATCCTCTACCTGTTCAACTCCACTCTATCCAGCATAATTCCCTACTTTCTTCTCTTGCCCTATGTTCTGGGCTCTTCCCCACCAGCCTAACCCAATTTCGTCCTCTGAGAGGTCTTGGCTGACCCCCAGCAAGGGCCTCCTCTGGGCCCCCATGTCCCATGAGGATTCACCACCCCTACTCCATCCTGGCAGGAGGGACTCAGAAGCTGCCTCGATGCCTGGGGGTGGCCCTGGCGAAGGAGCTCATCTTCACGGGCCGACGACTGAGTGGGGCGCAGGCCCAGGTTCTGGGGCTGGTGAACCACACTGTGGCCCAGAATGAGGAGGGCAACACTGCCTACCGCTGGGCCCGAGCCCTGGCCCAGGAGATCCTGCCCCAGGTGTGACTGCCGCTCGGCGCAGGTGGGCCTGAGCCACTGGGGTCATGGGCGGGGATGCCGGGGGCAAGGGCGTCTCATGCAACCACACAAAGTCCATTTCCCCAGATTTATAAAATTAACCGTCTTTTGCAGTTTTGCCTCCATTCGGCCATCTAGTAAATAATACTAAATCAGATTTTAAGTTAAAGTGAAAATTGAGTTCTGAGGGGCTGGGATCAATTAAGCTTGAAAATCCTCAGAACAGCCTGTAAAACAGAACTTCCTGAGATGATGCAAATGATCTCTATCTGTGCCATCCACTAAGGCGCCCACTAGCCACATGTTTGGTCGCTCTGTCTGACTGTGTGCGACCCCACAGACTGTAGCCCACCAGGCTCCTCTTGTCTATGGTATTTTACTGGCAAGAATACTGGAGTGGGCTACCATTTCCTTCTTTAGGGGATCTTCCCAACCCAGGGACTGAACCGGAGGATCCTGCTTGCCAAGCAGTTTTTTACCCTTGAGCTACCTGGGAAGCCCCACTAGCCACATTACTTAAATTAAAATTTTAATTTCTCAATTATACTTCCCATATTTTAATGCTAATAGACACATGTGGCTGTTGGCTATTGTACTGGAGAGTAAAGCATGATTGTGTCCCAAAATTGAAAATGCAAGACTCTTAAGCAGATAAAGAACTACCAGCCCATCTTTCAACCACACTACGTGGTGGGAAAGCACTTGAAATACATGATATAGGACATATGTTAAGACCCATACATTTTTGTTAATTCAAATAGCCTATTAGCATAGTCTCCCCAAAAGTTTAGGTACCCAGGGAGTGGGTTAGGCCCTGCCTACATGTAATCTCCAAGTATCTGATACATGTAGTCTCCAAGTATCTGAGAGGCTCCACTGGCTTCTCACTTCTCTGAGAGCCAGAGGGAGGTCCCAAGTTTCCACAAAGATAGGCAAGCAGCTGAAATGGAGCCAGGTTTTGTTAAGTTGTAATACTGACTGAGCCCATATGGCGCACCCTCATCCTTCAGTCACAATCAGACGCAAACAATCCTGGGTACTAACAATCCAGTGTCCCAATGTTAGAACAATCAAGTTGAGGTGATTATCCCTGTCGTGTCTGTGCTATAACAGATCCAACAAAGTTAAGTGACTGCTCATCAAAGTCAAAGAAAGTCACTGCACTACCACAAAGACAGACACTATTTTGGCATGCTTTCTGCATAATACAGAAATACATATAATAACTAGTATTTTAAAGAATGCAGAACATGTGAAAATTTTTAAAGAACAAACTAAATCTTTAATGGATTTCAAATACAAAAAATTAAAGACATATGACAAAGGTCAAATATAAAAATGTTAACTATATTCTATCATTTTAACATTATTAACACAGAAAAGTATTTGAATTAATCACAAAAAGTAAAAAAGAGTTATTTTAGGAGGAAAAAAGTCTCCCTTTAAATAATCCTGCCTCTTTTTATAATTTTGAGATCTTTACTTACTTACTTGCTTAGTTACTTGAGGGAAAGGACTATAAAAAACTGATGGTAAGTTTGGTTTAAAAGCATTTGTCTTGTCTTCATTTCTTGTTTATAGTTTCATCACATATAAAAGGAGAGTCTGATGCTGTTTATTTTAATGCTGTCGTGTTTCTCTTATACTTGGTCAGAAAGTCTCTCAACTGATACAAAACTCTGAGTAACTCAGGGTAGTAGCTGATTACACTTTCAAGGAGTGAGGAGTGCCTATTTGTATAGGGCTTGTCTTTTTGCATAAAATAAATAACTGGAACTTTGAGCTTGATCTCAAGATGATTCAGGCTTCAGATTTTTCCATATAATGAATTAATGGTATTTTATTAATTACTAGTATTTCATTATTTAAAAGTAGCTTTCTACACCAAGGGACTTCCCTGATAGCTCAGTTGGTAAAGAATCCCCTGCAATGCAGGAGACCCCTGTTGGATTCCTCAGTTGGTAAATCCACTACAGGAGGGATAGGCTACCCCCTCCAGTAGTCTTGGGCTTCCCTTGTGGCTCAGCTGGTAAAGAATCCGCCTGCGATGCAGGAGACCTGGATGTGATCCCTGCGTTGGGAAGATCCCCTGGAGAAGGGAAAGGCTACCCACTCCCGTATTCTGGCCTGGAGAATTTGCAGAGTTGGATACGACTGATTGACTTTCACTTTCTACACCAAATCAACATCATACCGAAAACTAGTAGTAGAATATCACTAATGCAAATGCTGGGACATTCTGATGCAACCTGCTTAACTTCCACGTGAGTTACTGAGTGCCAAGTATTAAGATTCCCTATGCTAAGTCACTTCAGTCGTGTCCGACTCTGTGCTACCCCATAGACAGCAGCCCATCAGGCTCCCCTGTCCCTGGGATTCTCCAGGCAAGAACACTGGAGTGGGCTGCCATTTCCTTCTCCAATGCATGAAAGTGAAAATGAAAGTGAAGTCGCTTAGTTGTGTCCGACTCTTAGCGACCCCATGGACTGCAGCCTACCAGGCTCCTCCCTGGGGTGAATGCAAGAGATACTGTGGTAGATGCCTGCCCTCTAGTGGAGAAACGACCAAGATCAGGGAGTCAAAATGCTCAAGAAATTACATACACCCCAAAAAGAAAGTGAAGTCACTCAGTCGTGTCTGACTCTTTGCGACCCCATGGACTGTAGCCTACCAGGCTCCTCCATCCATGGAATTTTCCAGGCAAGAGCACTGGAGTGGGTTGCCATTTCTTCTCCAGGGGATCTTCCCAACTCATGGATCAAACCCAGGTCTCCCACATTGCAGACAGACTCTACTGTCTGAGCCACCAGGGAATCCCTACAGCCCAAAGTTCAGTTCAGTTGCTCAGTCGTGTCTGACCCTTTGCGACCCCATGAATCGCAGCACGCCAGGCCTCCCTGTCCATCACAAACTCCCGGAGTTTACTCAAACTCATGCCCATCAAGTCAGTGATGCCATCCATCCATCTCATCCTCTGTCATCCCCTTCTCCTCCTGCCCCCAATCCCTCCCAGCATCAGGGTATTTTCCAACGAGTCAACTCTTTGCATGAGGTGGCCAAAGTATTGGAGTTTCAGCTTCAGCATCAGTCCTTCCAATGAACACCCAGGACTCTTTTAGGATGGACTGGCTGGATCTCCTTCCAGTCCAAGGAACTCTCAAGAGTCTTCTCCAACACCATAGTTCAAAAGCAGCAATTTTTTGGCGCTCAGCTTTCATCACAGTCCAACACTCACATCCATACATGACCACTGGAAAAACCATAGCCTTGACCAGATGGACTTTTGTTGGCAAAGTAATGTCTCTGCTTTTTAATATGCTGTCTAGGTTGGTCATAACTTTCCTTCCAAGGAGTAAGCGTCTTTTAATTTCATGGCTGCAGTCACCATCTGCAGTGATTTTGGAGCCCCAAAAAATAAAGTCTGACACTGTTTCCACTGTCTCCCCATCTATTTCCCATGAGGTGATGGGACCAGATGCCATGATCTGGTCATTTTCTAAATGCCATGCCATTTTCTAAATGTTAAGCTTTAAGCCAACTTTTTCACTCTCTTCTTTCACTTTCATCAAGAGGCTTTTTAGTTCCTCTTCACTCTCTGCCATAAGGGTGGTGTCATCTGCATATCTGAGGTTATTGATATTTCTCCCGGCAATCTTGATTCCAGCTTGTACTTCTTCCAGCCCAGCGTTTCTCATGAGGTACTCTGCATATAAGTTAAATAAGCAGGGTGATAATATACAGCCTTGACGTACTCCTTTTCCTATTTGGAACCAGTCTGTTGTTCCATGTCCAGTTCTAACTGTTGCTTCCTGACCTGCATACAGGTTTCTCAAGAGGCAGGTCAGGTGGTCTAGTATTCTCATCTCCTTCAGATCAAAAGAGTCTGTCAATAAACACAAGCTCCACAAATTAACACTCAGATTTTCCCTTTAAGGGGTAAAAATACTTTACCCTAGGAATATGGATTTGGCTACATTTTCCATGGAACATCAAAGGAATGGAACATCCTGTGGCAACTGTGCCTCACTGTTCTCATTTCCAAATAACATAAAATGATCCATCATATTTCTAATTGATCTACTTCACACAGTGTTACCTTGAACACCACAGGTTGGAACTGCGCAGGTTCACTTATACATGGATTTTTTTTTTCCACTAAATACATACTACAGTACTACACGATCCAAGGTTGGTTGAATTTGTGGATGCAGAACTCTTTACAGGGAGGGTTGGCTGTAAAGTTATGTACAGATTTTCTATGGCATGAATGATCCGTTCCCCTAAGCTCAAGGCTGTTCAAGGCTCAACTACAATTATGCGTACATGCACAGACACACTCAGAAACATAAATATGTGTGTTTTAAACACAGAGACAACATGGCTATATGGTTTTTAATTTTCTCTAATGAGAAATCAGTAGTTAAATAATACACATTCATAACAAGCAAATCAAAGGACATTGAGTAAAAATCAAAAGTAGGGTGATCCTGTTATCCTGGGGCTGTCCAGGTTCAAAGTGAAAAGTCCCACATCCTAAAACAACACTTCAGTCACTGGCAAACCAGGACAGTTGGTCACCAAAACATTCCTCAATTCCCCAGTCACACTCCCCAGAGATGACCACTGTTAACAGTTTTCATACTCTTGCAGAAATTTTCATTGTACATGTAAAATGTGCACATATACTCACATATCTAAATAATTCTAAATTCCTTTAGGACAATTTAGGGGACAAGGAACACATCTTTAAAGTTTAGTCTAGTTCTAACTGATGTTTAAAAACATAAACTATGCAGAGAAAAGAATTCAATAAGTATGCAAAAGTATAAAACAAAAAGTGAAGTTCTCCATTCTCTTGACCCTTCTCCCCAAAGACACATCATACCAACACCTTCTACACAAATGGAATAATATACACAGCACTATGCAGCTTCCTTTTTTCACCTAATATCTGGAGAGTTACCCATTTCAGCACATACTTA